GCCTAATAAAACAAATCCAAAATTAATAAAATGGCAATAAGAACATACATATGGATAATTACCTTAAAAGTAAACAGATTAAATGCTCCAATCAAAAGACACAGACTGGCTGAATGGATACAGAAACAAGGCCCATATATATGCTGTCTACAAGAGACCCACTTCAGATCTAGAGACACATACAGACTGAAAGTGAGGGGATGGAGAAAGGTATTCCATGCGAATGGAAATCAAAAGAAAGCTGGAGTAGCAATATTCATATCAGACAAAATAGACTTTTAAATAAAGACTGTTACAAGAGACAAAGAAATATACTACATAATGATCAAGGGATCAATCCAAGAAGAAGATATAACAATTGTAAATATATATGCACCCAACACACGAGCACCTCAATATATAAGGCAAATGTTAACAGAAATAAAAGAAACTGACAGTCACATAATAATAGTGGGAGACTTTAACACCCCACTTACATCAATGGACAGATCAACCAGACAGAAAATCAATAAGGGAACACAGGCCTTAAATGACACATTAGACCAGACGGACTTAATTGATATCTACAGAGCATTCCATCTGAAAGCAGCAGAATACACATTCTTTTCAAGCGCATATGGAACATTCTCCAGGACAGATCACATGCTGGGCCACAAAGCAAGCCTCAGTAAATTTAAGAAAACTGAAATCATGTCAAGTATCTTTTCCAACCACAATGCTATGGGATTAGAAATCAACAAGAAAAAACTGCAAAAAACATAAACATGTGGAGGCTAAACAATATGCTACTAAACAACCAACAGATCACTGAAGAAATCAAAGAGGAAATAAAAAAATACCTAAACACAAATGAAAACAAAAACATGATGATCCAAAACCTGTGGGACATAGCAAAAGCCATTCTGAAAGGGAAGTTTATAGCAATACAAGCTTCCCTCAGGAAACAAGAAAAGTCTCAAACAACCTAACCTTACACCTAAAGCAACTAGAGAAAGAACAAAACACCAAGAAGGAAAGAAATCATAAAGAGCAGAGCAGAAATAAATGAAATAGAGACTAAGAAAACAGAAAAGATCAATGAAATTAAAAGCTGCTTCTTTGAAAAGATAAACAAAATTCATAAACCTTTAGCAAGACACATCAAGAAAAAAAGGGAGAGGGCCCAAATCAAACTTTGAAACAAAAAAGGAGAATTTACAACAGACACCACAGAAATACAAAGGATCACATGAGACTACTACAAGCAACTACATGCCAATAAAATGGACAACCTAGAAGAAATGGACAAATTCTTAAAAAGGTACAATCTCCCAAGACTGAACCAGAAACAGAAAATATGAACAGATCAATTACAAGTACTGAAATTGAATCTATGATTTAAAAACTCCAGAACACAAAAGTCCAGGACCAGATGGCTTCACAGGCGAATTCTATCAGATATTTAGAGAAGAGGTCCAAGAGGGAGGGGATATATGTATACATATATCTGATTCACTTCACTGTACAGCAGAAACCAACACAACATTGTAAAGCAATTATACGCCAATAAAAAAATTAAATTAAATTAAAATAGGGAAGAGTTAACACCTATCCTTCTGAAACTATTCCAAACAAACTGCAGAGGAAGAAACACTTCCAAACTCATTCTATGAAGCCACCATCACTCTGCTACCAAAACCAGACAAAGATACCACAAAAAAAGAAAATTACAGGTCAATATCACTGATGAATAGAGATGCAGAAATCCTCAACAAAATATTAGCAAACCAAATCCAACAATATATTAAAAGGATCATAAACCATGACCAAGTGGGATTTATCCCAGGGATGCAAGGATTCTTCAATATAGGCACATTAATCAGTGTGATACACCATATTAACAAACTGAAGAATAAAAACAATATGATCATCTCATTAGATGCAGAAAAAGCTTTTGATAAAATTCAACATCTATTTATGATAAAAAACTCTCCAGAAAGTGGGCATAGAGGGAATCTACCTCAACATAATAAAGGCCATATACGACAAACCCACAGCAAACGTACTCAACAGTGAAAAACTAAAAGCATTTCCTCCAAGATCAGGAACAAGACAAGGATGTCCACTCTTGCCACTTTTTTTTTTGCGGTACGCGGGCCTCTCACTGCTGCGGCCTCTCCCGTTGCAGAGCACAGGCTCCGGATGCGCAGGCTCAGCGGCCATGGCTCACGGGCCCAGCCGCTCTGCGCCATGTGGGATCTTCCCAGACCGGGGCACGAACTCGTGTCCCCCGCATCGGCAGGCAGACTCTCAACCACTGCGCCACCAGGGAAGCCCCACTCTTGCCACTTTTATTCAACATAGTTTTGTAAGTCCTAGCCACAGCATCACAGTCAAATGTCATTCAGTTCAGAGCTCAGTTTCCCTCATCAGCAGGACTCCAGACAGCTTACAGTTACAGCCCCAAGTAAGAGATATTAACATCATAATATGGTCATTCAGTAAATTCTCCAGAGGGAACCCCAGGCCTAGTAAAGAAAGGACACTTCCGGGTGGGTGAGAGCTCCATTCTGGACCCACTCCAGGAAGCAGCAGGGTCCTTTGGCCTAGGAATCAGAGACCTGGAGCTTCCCTCTGGCCCCAGGCTCTGCTGCCTCTGCTGTAACATGGAGATGCCAAGCTATCCTTAGGCTGCCTCACAGGCTGGAACTGAAGGGCAAATGACGCATGGGGAGTTTTGTGCGGTATGCTAGCCGTACAAAGGGAAGGCAGGGTCTGCAGACAAGAGAGGAGAAAGTGGTCTGGCCTGACCAGAGGTGCTGGTCATTTCCAGAAGTCCAAGCTGAGCGCCTGTTCCATGGCTAGGACCTGCACTCTGGAGGGATGCAGGTGAGCCCCTGATGACCTTACACCACTAAGGACGTGGTTCCAGGCACCACCTGGCTTATCCAGCTCCACCCCCCAGCACCCCACTCTCATTCTGTGTGGTAGAGGAGCAGAAATGAGAAACAGAGAAGGAGGGGAGGTGCAACTGGAAAATCTCCCACCTAGCTGATACCATGACTGGACTTACCCTGTAATTCTCTGACTTCCAGGCATTACAACTCTCAACTGCTCAATCACACTACTGGAGTTTCCATTAACTTTCTGTGCAGTTTTCTTAAACTTGGCTCAAAATAACCCCTCAGAAGTCTCAGAAATTCTGTCCTGTAAAATTTGAATTCAGGAATTGGCAAATTACAATCGACCCACAGGCCAAATCTGAGTGTTCTGGTGAATGCCGTCTTGTTGGAACACAGCCACAACAATCTGTTTACATGTTGCCTAGGGCTATCTTCACACTACAAAGGCAGAGTTTTGTAGTTGTAACTGAGACAGGGTGGCCCTGGAAGCCTAACATACTATCTGGCTCCTTATGAAAAGTTTGCCAAACCCAACTCGTAATTCTACCTGCCTCAAAATACAACAGAAGAGAGTACAGTCCAAACCTGTTAAATAAACTGCTTTTTCTTCAAAGCTGGCAAGGTTTCACTTTAAAAAAAAAAATTCTAACAAATCTCACTTTTACAGAGTCAGCATTTTTGCGTGTTGAACAAACCAAAAAAAAGCGTTTTCAGATTTATCATCAGCGGGAAAAGCATATTTTCCCACACAGCCATAAATCTATTATGCTGAACTACTTTACATAAACTCCTCAAAAACACATTGGCTTAAAGCTGAATCCACAAACACACCACTCTTGGCCCCAAAGCAATTTTCTGAAAGTAGAATAAGCTTGAGGGTGGGGCCTAAATAATACTCTTTTACATTAAAGTATATTCTATTATTAACACTAAAAATTAAACTACTGCGACAATGCAATTTCTGACCATGTTTATAGAAGTGTATAATCCTTCCTTATATGAAATAGTTTTCTAACTGTTAGTTTAAATACACTTACAAAACTAAGCTAAGTATTTTCAAATACGTGAAGAATCATTCAAAAGCAAAATCAAATATCCAACTGACACTTTTAAAAGAAAATGGGGTTACTCACAGAGATAAAGGGTGAGGATCCTTTATTTCCCAGCCCTCGACACCCCTTTGGGTTGGTGGATTAGCCCTTCTATGGTCTGAATATGGAGGAAAACATCTGCACATGGGAAGGGGTAACAGGAGCTCGTCCACCTTCCTTTCTCAGATGTTAGTGCTTTCTCCCTTTTGATGAAATAGGAAGTTGTTCTAAAGTAGGGATAAGAACAAGGACTTTGAGACATGGTGCCAAAAAAAAAAAAAAGAAAGAAAGAAAGAAAAAGCAAGCTACTCGTAAAATGTAGGCTCTAAAAGAAGTTCTATCCCTAAAATATAACCTTAAACCTTAAACCTTATGCCTGTGAGGATAGTTCCCTCCATTGCTGCTATACTTCCTTCATCAAAAACAAATCCATCAGGACTTCACTGGTGGTGCAGTGGTTAAGAATCTGCCTGCCAATTCAGGGACATGGGTTCGATCCCTGGTCCAGGAAGATCCCACGTGCCACGGAGCAACTAAGCCTGTGCGCCACAACTACTGAGCCTGCGCTCTAGAGCCCACGAGCCACAACTACTGAGCCCACGTGCCACAACTACTGAAGCCCACGTGCCTAGAGCCTGTGCTCCACAACAAGAGAAGCCACCGCAATGAGAAGCCCACGCACCGCAACAAAGTGTAGCCCCCACTCACCACGACTAGAGAAAGCCCGCGTGCTGCAACAAAGACCCAACACAGCCAAAAATGAATGAATAAATAAATAAATTTATTTATTTAAAAAGAAAAAATCCATCCATTCCAAGTTTAAAGGGAACAATTTGAGTATTTTGCTGTCATCTTTTCAAATCAGTTGTCATATGCCCTGTTCAGAAAAGTTCTGAAGAGAAAAATAACAAACTTGCCCTGACTGTCTTCACAGGGATCAAGCTCATGTAATGCCCTCTCAGTAAGCCAGTCCTAACTGCGTGCCACCTGCCAGCGAGGAGAACCTGCCCTGGCCCAAGATACAAACCTCCCGGCGAACGACATCTGCAGTTCTCTCCAAGTGATCAGTTTTCCTTTTGGATTTCATTACGCTTTAATAGAAAGTAAAATTAGGTTATTAAGTATTATCCTCCTGAAAATTAATTACACTAGTAATTATCGTGACTATCCAATACCTGTCATACCTGTAGCTGGAAAGCAACAGCATGACTATCCACAATACAATATAACATCATGGATCCCAGAAAGCGGCCCATGAAAATCTGCACATCTAACGAAAGCTTAATGATCCACTGACAGCATGCACGTGTAAGCAAGATGTTACAATATGCCTCCCATGATCATCAGCAGGTCAGGTCTTTTTGAAAATCAACCTCAAATGACACTGAAGGTGACAACTCACCTGCTTAGAGTAAGGTGGCGCAAAGCGCTGGGTGTCAGTCTACTCGAAGCAGCCTGAGCGCAGATGGCCCCCACAAAGCCTCGCAGCAACGCAGGAATCACGACAGCCATGGTGCTTCCTGGGAAACAACAAACTGAAAGTTAAAATATTTTAAGGAAAAGTAGGGAAATATCAGACTATCTTAGGGGCCAGTGAAGAAGAGTTTGGATTTTTGTTGCTGACATTATGAGCTGATCTAACAGCAAAACAATTAACTTCACCCTGACAAAATTTCTGCTACTACATACAACTGATTCAACTGATCTCCACAGCACATACGTATGTAATTATGGTGTTCAAATATTTCTGTTCTCTATTAGTTTCCAAAATCTCTGACCAAACTCATGGGACTAATCTTCTGCTATTACAGAAGAGGACAGTAGATTTTATAACTGCCTAATAATTATATTCTGCCCAGAGCACCGCATAAGTCTTTAATATTTCTTGTTAAAGTGAAAGGGACAAATTTTCTGAGGTTCACAGCAATGAGAATAAACAAACTCCAACTACATGCAGTAACATAGGTATCACAAATATCACAGTAAATGAAAAGAATGAAAGAAGCCAGACTCAAAGAAGTCAGTCACACAGAGTACAAAAACAGAAAAAACGAATCTATGCAGTTAGAAATCAAGTTAGTAATTACTCCTGGTGAGGTGCCAATGACAATGTCTTTTCTTAATATGAATGCTGATGGGTATTTTCATTTTGAAAAAAGTTCATCAAATCACAGAGAAGTTTGGGGGCAGTAAAAATACTCTGCATGGTACCATAATGACAAAAGTCATTAAACATATGTCCAAATCCACAGAACATACAACACCAAGAGTGAGCCGTGGTGTTAGACTTGGGGTGATTATGATGTATCAGTGCAGGTTCATCACTTATAACAACTGTCCCACTCTGGTGGGGGATGTGGATGCTGGGGGAGGCGATGCACGTGTGTAAGCAGGGGGTGTATGGGGAATCCCTCTACTAGCCCTCAGTTTTGCTGTGAACCTAAAACTGCTCTGAAAAAAAAAATCAAGTCTTAAAAGTTCAATGAAGCAGTCCTCTTAGGGTTTATGTACGTCTGTTTATATGTTACACTTCAATAACAAGTTAAAAAAAAAAAAAGCCAGAAAGATTCTCCAACATTTCAAATTCTAAAAACTACTGGCCTATCAGGGAAAGCACTGATTGGAAGTCAAATGATACATTCTTTTTGCTTCCTATCACTCTGTTTTCCTCTGCCAATTTTTAACTATTTCTTTGCCTAACATGGCCACTTTTAACACGTTATATTGCCATATATATCTGTCCTTCCCTATCTCAGCTGGCTTGAGAATAAATGAAAATGTATGTGAACACTATTTCCTGAGCTCTTTGGAAGGTACTACATAAATTAATTGTAACAAATACAGTGTTAGAAAAATATTCAAGTGAGGTGTGCTGCATTCCTACTCCACATTCATTAATTTAGCCCTTCATTTGACAAATATTTATTAAAGCCCATCACATGGCAGGTCCTGGGGATACAAACATGAACAAAACAAAGACCTTAGGGAGCCTACATTTAAAAGACGACACAAGAAATAAATAAAAGTAAGTAAATTGAGCAGTGATATCAGTCATATGTAATTTATTCAGTTATAATCAAATCATATCAAAAATCCACTGTTTCATAACTAGTCTTTAGACAAGATAAAAGATCTATTTCTTGCCATGCAGCATCACTGTGGATAAACATGCTACTCGCTACTTTTCTCTCTAGTAAATGAAGTAAGTATAAGGCCTCTTTCACCTCATGTAAGACTATTATACGTAGTTTTTCTCCTTTGAATGTAGTAAACCAAAAATGGTACATAAATCATTGAAAGAAAGAAGGCAAAACTTACTTTAGAAATCCATGAGAGTTCAGGAGTCATTAAGAGTAAGGCTGGCTGACTGACTGACATGCAATATTCTGGTCCTGCATTTACAGAGACCTTTGGAATACACACCAGTTGGAACACAGACAGTGTTTCCATATACTGAAATTCTCACAAAGTTCCTGCAATGGCAGAGACAACATATAAGAACGATGTTGGGGAAAATTAAAAAGCACTGTCTCTTAGTGGCAAAAGGAAAGGCTCATTGTAATCAGCAAGAATCACCGCAGAGCAAGCCGACTCTCAAAGACCCCCTTTCCATTCATTCCTCCTCCTGTTTCCACTTTTCTTGTCTGACTGTCTTGCTGCTTCTCTCTTTCACCTTCCTTGACCGTCAGTCTGTAACTTCTGCTGCTTAGGGTATCCACCCCATGAACAACCAGCTCAATGGCTGGAATGATACAGTTACATGTCACTTGGGGTCAACTTCCCTGATAAAATTTAACCGATATGTAGGTACATACGGACACCCTGTTCTGCTCAATGTTTTGGACAACTACTGCTACAATAAGTTGTCCTCATCTAAGACACATATTTTAGTGATTATGCTGTCTGAACGGTCTACTGCTCAACTGAACTGGAAAACAAAGAAATGTTAATTTTTAAAAGCTGTTCTCTTTAAAATTCTAAAATCTTGTTTTGTAACAATAGTAACCATGACCAAGAGCGCCACCTACTGGTAAAAAGAAGGGTATTTCATCAAATTGTGTTCAAAGTGCCTTCCAAAGCAATAGGTATTTAAAGAAAAAAAAACTACCCATATTTTGAAATATGTCCAGTGGTTTTATATATTCAATGTAAGTATTAATTAACTATGGAAAATTAACATATATTAAGTAATTTTCAAAAACATACAAAAAAGAATATTCCATCAATGTTTGTATCCTCATAGACCTTACCTCACCAAAGTTATTTCTAAAACAGAGAAAAGTATCATAAATGCTAAATAAAACATACATCCATTTAAACAGTGAACTACAAGCAACAGATAATTATGACACTATACATATAAAATCCTGAAGATGCTACCAAAAAACTACTAGAGCTCATCAATGAATTTGGTAAAGTTGCAGGATACAAAATTATACCCAGAAATTTGTTGCATTTCTATACACTAGCAACAAAAGATCAGAAAGAGAAATTAAGGAAAAAATCCCATTTACCATCACATCAAAAAAAAAAAATACCTAGCAATAAACCTACCTAAGGAGATAAAAGACCTGTACTCCGAAAACTATAAGATGCTGATGAAAGAAATCAAAGATGACACAAACAGATGGAAAGATACACCATGCTCTTGGATTGGAAAAATCAATATTGTCAAAATGACTATATTACCCAAGGCTATCTACAAATTCAATGCAATCCTTATCAAATTACCAATGAGATTTTTCACAGAACTAGAACAAAAAATTTTAAAATCTGTATGGAAATACAAAAGGCCCTGAGTAGCCAAAGCAATCCTGAGAAAGAAAAACGGAGCTGGAGGAATCAGGCTCCCTGACTTCAGACTATACTACAAAGCTATGGTCATCAAAACAGTATGGTACTGGCACAAAAACAAACATGTAGATCAACGGAACAGGATAGAAAGCCCAGAAATAAACACACACACCTATGCTCAATTAACCTCTGACAAAGGAGGCAGGAATATACAATGGAGAAAAGAGAGTCTCTTCAATAAGTGGTGCTGGTAAAACTGGACAGCTATATGTAAAAGAACGAAATTAGAACGTCTCTAATACCATGCACAAAAATAAATTCAAAATGGATTAAAGACCTAACTATAAGACCAGGTACCACAAAACTCCTAAAGGAAAACATAAGCAGGACACTCTTTGACATAAATTGCAGCTATATCTTTTTGGATCTGTCTCCTAGAGCACGGGTCCCCAACCCCCCCCCCCCCCCCCCCCCCCCCCCCCCCCCCCCCCCCCCCCCC